TCTTTCTTCTGTTCTTCATGCAATAGGGATGCCCCTCATATTTATTAAGTGGATTGAAGCTTGTTTCAAGGAAGCTTATTTCAGGGAAGCTAGGTATTCCATCTCCTTTAATGGGAGTCTGATAGGCTATTTTAAGGGTCAAAGAGGCATAAGACAAGGTGACCCTTTATCACCAATCCTATTTGTACTTGCAATGAATATTCTTTCAAATTTACTTAACATTGCTGCTACCAGAGGAATATTCGGATACCACCCTAAGTGCAATTACTCACCTATCCGTTGCAGATGATCTCTTAATTTTTTACAAAGAAAATCTTGAGTCAATTGTTGGTGTCATGACTTTCCTTAATCACTTCTATGATATGTCTGGTTTAAAGCTAAACATTTGCAAGACATAATTGTTTTCTGCTGTTATCTCATCTCGAAATCTGGAAAACATCAAATCTGCTACAGGATTCGAACCATGTTTCCTTCCTGTTAGATACCTTGGTGTTCCTCTTGTTACTAGAAAGTTAACTGCTAAAGATTGTCTGCCTCTTATTGAAAATATCAAACAAAGGCTTCATCATTGGTCTGGGAAATTATTGAGTTATGCAGGTAGACTTGAGCTTATTAAAACTGTCATACACAGTGTCGTTAACTACCGGAGTAGGCAGCTTTTACTTCCGCAGAAAATCCTTAATCGACTGGACCAACTCTGTTCTAGATTCCTTTGGAAAGGATCAGATACGGCTGCTACAGGAGCTATAATCAGTTGGGAGAATTTATGCTGCCCCAAATCCGAATGTGGTCTTGGCTTAAAATTCTCAAAACTTGGAATAAAACCTGCATGGTTCATCTTATTCGAAAAATTCTTGCAGGAACGGGATCTTTGTGGGTTGCCTGGATTCATTCCTATGTGATTAAATGCAATAATTTCAATGATATAAATCAAAGCTCTTCTTATAGCCGGTGCTTCAGGAAACTTATTAAACTTCGAAGCGAAGCACTTCCTATTCTAAGCAATGGAATTTCGAAGACAAAAGATCTATGGGAGGAAATCAGAGTCCATAAAGCAAAGGTACCGTGGCACAAAGTTATATGGTTTCCACTTCACATTCTGAAATTGAGTATTATTTCTTGGATGACTATTATGGATCGTCTTCCTACTAGGGACAAACTATCTAGAATTGGTATTGTTTTAAATGATTCATGTATAATATGTCATGAATCGACTGAAACAATAAACCACTTGTTTGTTGATTGCTCTTTTGCTACTTCTCTATGGAACTCTATCATGAGCCTCACTAATATGTACAACACCCATAACACTTGGGATTCAAGAATTCGTTGGGCTTCTCAGCAATGGAAAGGTAAATCTCTTCTATCCACCATTCTGAAACTTTCTTGGACAGCTTACATATACTCGATCTGGGATGAAAGGAATCGTCGAATCTTCAAAAGAGAAACAAGATCAACTGATCAAGTTCTCAAGACCATCAAGGACTATGTTTGAATCAAACTCAGTGATAGAAGCATCAATAGAACTGACTTTGCTAATGTAAATTTATGTAATCATTAGGGTATAGAATGATCTTTTGTTGTAAGTAGATTTTTAAACCCAATTGGGACGTTTTGATGTATCTTTCTACTTTGGATATTAATAAAATTTGCTTATCCAAAAAAAATATCACATTTAAATTTTTCATGTGTTTGTAACTTATTTTATATATTTTTAAATTATGTATTAAATTAAAATTGAACTAATTTATTAATAACGAGATTAACCAAAAAAATCATTTGATACAAGCCCTAATATAAACGAGTGCTCAAATTATATTTTTTTAGATGTCTAAACTATAATTCTATCAATTCATATGTCCAATATTACAAAAATTATCATTTTAAATATCTCAGTCGTAACGTCTTTAAAAAAATTCAGTAAATAACACGTTATATATTTATATAATATTGAGCAGCCTCTTCTTGCAAACTAATCTTCTGTAAGTACTGAAGTGGTTTCGTAAATCCCAATCTGGATCAGCATCTAGGGTTGAGTCAAATTTAGTTTTATAGTAAAATATATTTTCTGTATTGAAAGATCTCTTGCAATGGGAATACAAAGTATTGATTTCTCTGATGTCGATTTACTCTGAAATTAATCTAAGATTTTATGTTAGATGTATGAATTTTTTAAAAATTATATTTTAAAAATTATATGAAATATATGTAATCACATAAATTAAAATTACATATATTTTTAATTGAATTCATTTATTTTAATAATTTTTTCTTTAAAAAGTAAATATCTTATTCCATGATTAACGATATGTCCATCTTCAAAATCTTAAAAATATTTTCAAAAAGAATTGATCTAGTATCATCCCTATTCCATGACATCAACAACCATAATAATGAGCATCAATCAAGAAATCTTAATGGTTAAGGGATTTATTGTTATCCCTTGAAATTTTAGGTTCGAGTATCACGTATACAAAGGTATAAACGTTTATTGTGAGGTCTTTGAACTTATAATACCAAATATTCACTCTATATTTATATATAAAAAAGCCATAATGAAATAAGAGAAAATGAATTTAATCAAATTTAATTATTTTAATTTTTAGGCAAAAGGGTATGTGAGACCCTCGTACTTTAAAAAAAATCAATGTGGCCTTCGTTTTTTTATACCTAATGTGACCCTAAAATTTAGAAAACATATCTAATGTGACCCTTTGACCAACGATTTCCATTGTTGACCGTTATAGTACTGACGTGTCACTTCACAATGCTAATATGACAGGCAATACACAGTAGCTTGTAATGTGGTTGATGACATGATAGATGGACTAAATTTATATATAAATTACCATAAAATATAGGGTTGACTACATGGATGGTAAATTAGCTTTGTGTTTTGTCAACTTTTGGTCACTGGTTTAAAAAAAAACATAAGATATGATCACTTTTGTTTTTATTTAATTAAGAATGGTCATCCCGAGCTAATTGCCGTTGACAACAATTAAATATTTTGATATATTCACATATTTGGTCCATGTTATTTATATATTCTCTCAATTTAGTCATAATTTTAATAAATTATATATTTTTAAATGAAAATGAAAATAAAATATTTTTAAATTAAATTAATAATAAAATATATTTAATAAGTTGATATAAAAATATTTTAAGTTAATATATAAAAATTATTATATATAATTCGGGTCACTGGTACCCGATTCATAATTTTTTTATTTTCCTTTAAATTATATTATTTTTAAAAAAAATTATATAAAAAATTATAAAATTTTAAATTTAAAAGTTTATAATATATATAATCCACACATAAATTTTAAAAATTCAAATTACATAATTGAAATAAAATTTATTAAAATTTAAAATAAAGAAATGTAATTAAATTTCAAATGTTTTGAAGTTAAAATAATTATTTAAAAAAATAATTTAGAACGTTAATGTGAAAAATTGTAAGAAATTAAGTATTTAGCGTTATGGTGTCAAATTTTAAGAAATTAAGATTTTCAAATGTTAGAGTGAAATAATTTGAGGATTATGAATAAAAATTTAATATAAAATAAAAATGAAACATAAAAAGTATATAATAAATCAGGTATCGGGTTGGAGGGTACCTGATTAACCAATATTTTATGACCCATGCTCGACCCAGAAACCCGACCGGGTACCCGACGTGAAAAATTAGTATTTTTATTATAAATACCCAATATCTTTTAAATGGGTCAGCGAGTCGACGTGTCAGCTCAATCAAGTCGGGTATTTTTGAACAACCTTACTGCATTACTTGTGGCATCATTTGATTAGAGGATTAAATTTATTTTAATTTATTAAAAGTATGACTAAATTGAGAGAATATGTAAATAACATGGACCAAATATGTGATTATATCAAAAATATTTAATTGTTGTTAACGGCAGTTAACTCGGGGTGAACACATCTTAATTAAATAAAATCAAAAGTGACCATATCTTAATTAAATAAAAACAAAAATGACCATATCTTATGTTTTTTTGAAATCAGTGACCAAAACACAAAGATAAGTTACCATCCATGTAGTTAACCCTAAAATATATAATTAAAAAATATTAAAAATAATTATACAATTAAAAAGAAGAACATTTTAGTGAATATAACATGATAGAGGAAAATAAAATTCACTAAATATGGATCCATGCGTTTGAGATTTTTTTTATTATCCCTAATATTTATTTATTTTTTATTTTTCATGCAATAGAAAAATGTCTCTATAAAATAAAATAAAATAAAACTCACATTAAAATTGACTGTATAAACATAACAATATAATAATACTGCTAAATAAAATAAAATTCACATTATAATTCGTCTCTAAATTGAATGAATCATTTAACAATAACAATTTCCAATCACTTTCGTTAGTATATATATTTTTATTTTTTAGTAATTTAATTTTTTAATTTTTTAATTTTTTAATATTTATTTTTTACTATTTTTGTATAGTTTAAATTAAAATTTAAAAATTCAAATATTTTTTAAAAATATTAAATAAGCCCTTGATATTTAAAAAAAAATCAATTTTACTCTCGAACCCGAATAAAAAACAATTTAACTCATTTGTTGCATCATCATCCACGATACCAACTACCATAGATTATTATATTAATACCGTGAATACATTAATATTATAATGATGAACGAAGAAACAATCAATCACGTTAAGTTTTAGGATACAAAAGTACGTACCTTTTTGCTTAATTTTTATTGCATTTTCTAATTTTAAGTTTTTATTTTCTATCATATTGCAATAGAACGATAATCATATTAAATTGACGCTGATTTAGCCGTTCATTAATGTATTACTAAATTGATTTATCAAAAATAAAAATTTAATCGTTAAAAAAGATACAATAAAAATTTTAAATAATAATAATTTAACACCCTTGGCCAAAAGATAGCCACAATAAAACAAATTTATGATTAATGAGATGTTAAATTTGCAACACGATATATTATTGGGTAAAAGTACAATTTTTTTTAATGTGAAATAATTCAAATAACAGACCGGGTTAGATGAAGAAATCGAATCGCCTTGTTTAATCAGCAGCTCATTCTTTCATCATGGGAGTCCAACAAGATTTAGTTTTAGGGTTCCAAATGGCCGGAACCAGGAATCTCTTCCCTTCGTTTCCAATGGCATTGTAGTTCCCGCCCTCTTTGGAATCGGTAAGGACCTTCCCGGGGTGTCCCGGGGCGGCGTCTTCACCGAAAATGCCTCTGCAAACCGTAGCGGGTCCGAACGGTTCGAACTCATTTCCGCCGAAAAAGCCAGAATTTTTGGGACTGAGAACCGTATCAACCAATGCTCCGGCGAAGGCAGCTACCATTGCATCGCCTGCCATGTTTTGATTTGGTGGTTTTAGTACCGGTCCTTTTGGGCCACTGTCAGCCTCGAAGAAAGGCCATCCGCATGCTCCGGGACACTCCGTTTCAGGATTTCCAACCACGATGTATGATTGGTTGTTCTCTACTCGATCGAATCGAATAGAAAATACTAAATGAGTTATGGATCATATTTTATCATTTAAATTTTATTTTTTAAAATTAATTTGAATTTAAATTTAATTATAGAATTTTAAAATGGCATGGTATTAATTAATTTTAATTTAAATAATTTTTTTTATAATTACATACAATATGCATGTATATTTTTTGTATTTTCATAAAAGATATAAAATTGATTGTTCATTTTAATTAGATGAAATTTTTTAAAATAAATACTGGATTGTAATCAATTTAATTTAATAAAAATATTAATTTTTTAGAATTGAATTAAATTGTGTTCCCTCTCACGTGATATCATCAAAAGATTCGACGAGATTGTAAGTTGTAACATATAAATCAAAATGTAGTTTACGACCGTGTACGATACTTTGACCGAGAACTTACCGAGAACGCCCTTATCGGCACATTTTCCGGCGCAAAGTCCTTGGACGGTGACATCCCTGGCGGCAATGATGACGGGGAGGAGGCCAGTATCTCCATGAGTGACAGCTTCGATGAGATTTGGAATAATTATTTGCTGGGTCAAGACTTTCCCATATTTGGGATTAGTACTCTTCTGTTTCTCCGCCACCACCTTGATATCCGGCGGTTCTCCGGACTTCGCTCCCGGGAGTAAGGATTGGTAGCTTTCAACCACTTTCCACCATGTCTTAACTTGAGGCTGACCCTTTTTTGTGGCGGATTTCCTTTCTTTGTTCAACGATTTGACGAAATTCCTTATCAGATTCTTGTGGACATTGTCATTTTCATCGCCGTACCAAATAAGCATTAAATTCACCTTTCCGGTGAGGATTGGGCCGCCGTGATAGGTGATTTCTGTTTTATCTGTGAAGGGGTCGAAGCTGATTCCATTGCTGATACATGGAATCAACGAAAGAAGCAAAAAGAGGTAAATTATCATTGTTGCAAATTTGTTATTGGAATTGGGACGAGCCCAGAAATTAGTTGCTAACGGACGAGATTATGTCAAATTTAAAGGTAAAGATTATGCTAATTTAGGAAGTCAAATCAAATCTATTTTAAGAATGGTTAAAGTTTAATTTTGAGTTTTTATAGATATGGGAAAAATCTTTCTTAAAAACTAATTTCATTTCAATAAAAAATAGAGATAAATTTAAAATTTCGTATTTAAATACTAATTTAATTGACATCGATATTATACACTTTTGAAATTTATAAATTTGAATTAATCATATTAACATCCTTCCTAATTTTAACCGGTTGATTTGTTAAAATTAAATTAATCAATCGAATAATCTATTTTTTAAATCATGAAACTTAATTTTAACTTCCATTTAGATCACAAATCTTTAATTAATTAATTAAATAAATTAACTTTATATTTATATTAATATCGTTAAATAACTTTAATAATTTTACCAAAATTTTCTCACTCTTTGTCTAAGTAATATACAACTATTTTTTTTTATAAATTCTATAAAAAATTAATTAAATTATTAATTAAATATTATTTAAAGATGATATGCAAAAAAAATTTAAAAGTGTCAATTTTAATTATTTATTATAATTATTTAACAGTTTTAGTAACCGTGACTTAATTTATTATTTATAATTTTTTATTAATATAGAATGTTACATGTGATAGTATTTATTTTAAAGATTCTTAACTATTTGACAATAAACGTTTAAATACCCTAAAATTATTAATACTCAAATTTTTAATATCTAAGAGTAATTCAATTTATTTAATATTTGCGATCCAAATGAAAATTGAAGTTGGGTTTTGTAGTCTGAAATATAAAATATTCAAATTATTCAAAGAATCATAATAAAAAAATGAAATATAATATATATTTCTTCAATAGATTACATCACAAGTTGTTATATCATGATTAATTTCAAAATTGGATCATCATATTAAAAACAATTAAGTCACTTTATTGTTAAATGTGTAAGCGTTAATTTTTTATTTACCTTTTAATCATTAATTATTAATAAATTTTATATTTGGGTCATTAAACTTTTTATTGTGAGTAAATATTTTTATATTTTTTTTATAATTTATTAGGATTAATTCCTCATTCTCTTGGTGTTATTGGACACAAACTCTTCAGTGCTTTTGTATTTCAGTAAAATAAAGGAATATTTTCTGCTTAAATTGTTGCATTCTCATTTATCATTGTTGCAAAGAGGCTTTTGTCCAAGAAAAATACCCAACCAATAAGGAATTTATATAACACCAACATGTACAATAGAAAGAAAGAAAAAACTTAAAAAGATGACTCGTACCAAAAATTGAGTTACTAAAGTATAAATTTACTCAAAATGTCAAGGCTTAAAGTAAAAATAAGTACTAAAACTATGCTGTTTTTTATTTTAGGCACCAAGATTTTTTTTTGGTCAAACTAGGTAGTTAAACTATTATATTTAATTATTTTAAGTCTTTATATTTTTTCAGTTAGAAAATTATTTTCAACCAATAAGATATTGACATGTCACACAAAATTAGGTACTTATTTTTACCAAAAAATATTTTAGGGGTTTGAAGCAAAAATAAGTATAGTTTAGGGACTTATTTTGACCAAAACATAGTTGAGGTACCTAAAGTGGTTACATATAATAGTTTAAGAACTTATTTTGTCCAAAATATAGTTTAAGTACTTAAAGCAAAAGAAAGTATAGTTTAAGTAATTTTTTAGTTTAAGCCAAAAAATTAATGACTGTTCTACTCTCACAAAAGTGGAAACGGTAGGCGCCACTATATGAATGGCAACGTAACAGGATCAATACCTTGCTTCAACGTCCAGTGAATGACACTCAGTTGTGTTCCTTTGCTCAGAGTAAGCAAGAACTTTATACGCGATTGCCGCGATATGAACAGTACTGGCGACAACGATCTTGCTTCCGATGGCTTGCTAATGGAGATAAAAACACTACTTATTTTCACTCACGGACTACAAGCAGATGAAAGAAAATTTGAATTGATGGATTGTTTACTGTGAGTGGTATTTGGGTAAACGACATTGCGGATATTCACAGAAAGTCAGTTAGCTATTTTTATATAAGACTACAACCCCTGCTACTTCGGAAGGTATTTTGCTCCCAGTTGCACCCGTTGTCACAGATGTTACGAATGCTGCTCTTATTGCTGACTATACTGGAGAACAGGACTCCGAGAATTGATGGACTACCAGGGTGCTTTTACAGTAAGTTTTGGCCTATTATCAGGGATGATGTCATCTCTATCTACCTGGACTTACTGCATGGTCGAGTGCCTATGTCCGAGGTTAATCGTATGGTGCTCGTGCCCATCCCAAAATGCTCGGAACCGAAGTGAATACATCAATTCCGGTCGGTTGCTCTTTACACTGTTATTTACAAGATAGTTGTTAAGGTCTTGGTTAATCGACCTACTTGCATTGATGATAAACAGGGCGCTTTTATTATGGGTCGATTGATTTCAGATAATGTTATTCTTGCCCATGAACTATTCACTATTTAAAAGCAAGTTCATCTGGTACACCTAGAGGAACAACTTTGAAATTGGATATGGAGAAAGCATATGATAGAGTTGAGTGGTCGTACCTACATGGTATCTTTACTTCGGCTTGGTTTTGTTGAGACCTAGGTGAATCTCATCATGTCTTGTGTTATGTCAGTTTCGTATCAAATACGGGTTAATGGCAATCTAACGGTTGTTTTTCAGCCGCAACGGGGTCTTCGCCAGGGGCGATCCATTATCCACATTCTTGTTTATTCTTTGCGCTCAGGGATTGTACTCTTCACTACATTCTGAATATCAAGCTGGGCGTATTTGGAGAATTCGAGTTTGTTGGAATAGTCCACCAGTGAGTCATCTATTTTATACCGATGATTGTCAACTATTCCTTTGCATTTCGCCTGGCGAGTTCAAGCGATTACGTGATGTTTTAGACCTATACGAAACCAACTCTGGATAAAAGGTCAATTATACAAAATCCAATCTTTATTGTTGTCTTTCAACACCCACTGCTACTCGTAATTTGTTGAGTTCACTTCTTGGGGTAGCATTATCGGATGAGCTGAGGTTCTATCTAGGGATGCCATTGGTGATTGGGCGTAATCACACTGATACGTTCAGGTTTCTCCGTGAAAAAAGTCGCCTCTTGTGTACGAGGGTAGACAAAAAGCACATTGTCTTATGGGGGTCGAGCAGTGTATATAAAATCAGTTGGGCAGACGCTACGTGCATATGTTATGGGCTGTTTTTTTTTATTTCGGATGGTATCACACGTGATATTTTGAAAACAATTCGCTCTTATTGGAGGTCTGAGGACCCTGTTGGTCGGGGATGACCGGGACTGGGGTTTCAATTTGTTCAACCTTACTATGCTTGCTAAGTATATATGACGTTACTTACGGCAGCCATAAAGTCTTCTTTCACGGTTCCTTACTGCCAGGTATTTCTCTTCTGGTGAGTGGTGACACTTTTCTTGTGAATCTAGCTAACTGTCCCTCCTTTGCATGGCGGAGTATTTGGATTGCAATACAGAAGTTCAAGTCGGGCTTTTTCATGCTAGTGGGTATTAATAGTTCTGCTCGCTTGCATCACGATCCATGGGGGTACCTCTCCCATACACTTCACAATTGCATAAATTGATAACTCAGTGAATCCGATAAGAGAGGGATTTCATGATTCTTTGGGAAGCACATTGGAACAATAGTTTAGTCCGCAATGCCTTCTCCGATGTAGATTCAAGCTTCATCCTTAACTGTCTAATTGCTCTCATCAATTCTGATACTTTGATTCGGGATGGGCATTCCTCAGGTACTTATTCGATTAAATCAGGTTATCTCTGGCTTTCCAAACAAAGCTGGTCGCCACTTCCACCATCTCGGTTATGGCTCACCTTATCGCGACTGAGTACGTTACCTAGGGTTAAGTTATTTGGATAGAGAGCTACACACGGGGCGTTGCTGGTAGGTCGTCGATTATTCCTTAATCCTTACTGGTGTTTTGGATGGCACTAGTAATCTCTATGGGCATTTGTAGGAAACTATTTTACATGTTGTTAGCAGTATGAAGCATGCGTTCCTCGTTGAATGTGCCATGCTGGCAGTAGCCGTTCAGAGGAAGTTAGGCTGTTAGGAAGCTGTTGAGAAGTTAGTCTGTTAGAAAACGGTTGAGCTTCTGTTAAGCTGGATCACTTGTACTGTATAAAAACAGAACTCGTGCTTTGTAATCTGTGGATTTATCAATATACATTTTCTGAATTCTTTTCTTTCTTTACTCATTCTAATATGGTATCAATCGCCATAGATCTTGGGATCTCAAGACCGGTTTTCGTTTCCGTTGCCTGAGTAGTTTCTGATGGAGATCGCTATGGGTTCTAAAACATTTACCAATGAGAAGGTAAATGTGGTGTTAGATGAAATGAATTTCCTCCTTTGGAAGCAACAGATCCTGCTCACCATTCGAAGTCACCGCTTGGAACGACTGCTTACCGGAGCTGCTGTGACTTCGCCGGAAACGGTGGTTGATGAAGATGGCACCGTTCATATCAACGAGTAATATGAAGATTTTGTGGTTCAAGACAGTGCCTTAGCATCCTGGTTGTTGTCTACAATTAGCCCACACCTTCTTCCCCAATTCGTTGGCGCTGAAACGACAACGGCCGTTTGGAACACAGTCCTTCACTTCTTTGTAAATTGCTCGACAACAGCAGTTATGAGCATTCACTACAAGCTTCAGTCTTTAAAGAAAGGATGATGAGGATGTTCCCAATACAATTGATGATGCTCTTCAGTCCCCTCACTGGGCTGCAGCAGTACATGAAGAGTATAAAGCTCTAATTAATAATGATGCATGGACTCTAGTCAGACTTCCCAAAGACAGAATGGTAGTAGGATGCAAATGGCTCTTTCGTGTTAAACACAACCTCGATGGCTCAGTAAATAGGTATAAAGCACGCTTGGTGGCGAAAG